GAGCTCCACCGCACTGTGGCCCCAGGGCTGCCCCTCGCCCTTGCAGGAGAAGGCCTGGGACAGACTCACTGCAGGGGCTCCCGGGAGCAGCCAGAGGGCCGAGTCTGAGTGGCGGATGGGTGCCTGCTGCACCCATATTCAGGGTGGATTTTTTAGCAAGATCTCATTGAAGTCCTGTCAGTTTCCTACCAGGAAGCTCCTAACGTCCAGCTGTGTCTCTGGTGATGTTCACATCAGTGACAGTTGTTACCCGTGTCATTATCTCACTGGGGTGTGAAAGGGGGAGAGTTCATTCTATATTATTCTATAACTTCTTCATTTACCCACTGGAATGTTTCTAGAGAGAAGCAAGCACTCCCCACGTCTTTGCCACCTCGAGGTACAGGGTGTGTAAGGGAAGATGAGCGGCTGGTTGGCCCCACTCTTTGTCAGTTTTGTAAGAACAAGCTGGCGCCCCAGAGCCCATTTACAGCATCTTTTTGTTTGTTTGTTTGAGATGGAGTTTCGCTCTTGTTGCCCAGGCTGGAGTGCAATGGTGCGATCATAGCTTACTTCAACTCTTGCCTCCCGGGTGCCTCAGCCTCCCCAGTAGCTGGGACTACAGACCTGCGCCACCATGCCTGGCTAATTTTGTATTTTTAGTAAAGATGGGGTTTAACCATGTTGGTCAGGCTGGTCTCAAACTCCCGACCTCAGGTGATCTGCCCACCGCAGCCTCCCAAAGTGCTGGGATTACGGGCATGAGCCAGTGTGCACAGCCCCACAGCAACTTTTTTGTTGTTGTTGTTGATTGCTAATCGTGTATTCAAAGCAGTAAGAGGTTCCACGACACCAAATAGACCAGTTCTGAGGTTTCCCCAAATTTAACAGCTCCAGCTTCTGCAGTGTCTACCAAAATACAAAAGAAAAAAGTAGATGTTGGCTTTTTGATGGCAAATCAGACCTTTGCAGGCTGAGGGAAATAGGGCTACGTCACACACGGAGGTGGGGTGCTCTGGAGGGGCTGTGGGTCTGGGTGGACCGCCTGCCCGGCTTGTACACACTCCTGCTGGTGAGGCCCCAGACATCCTGCCGAAGTGTCTGAGTGAGCACAAGTGCTGGAGACAACGGACTCACTCTGGCCACATGCGGACGGAGGGACAGGTGGGGCCCTGCCTCCCACAGGCTGCCTGAAGGTGGGTGTGGTGGCCTGTGGGAGAGTGGGGCGGGTGTGGGCTCCCAGCCTGACTCCTGGGAACCATGGGGGCACAGGGACAAGCACATAGCTATGGAATGCAGGGTGACCCAAGGACAAGCCAGTTGCAGGATGTCTATTGTCACCATGCAGAACTGATCACGGTCTGCCGTGCTGCCGCCTCACGTTCCCAAGGGGAACAGCCGGGCTGGTGACCGGCATTCAGGCTGTAACTGCAAATCTATGCTAGGCAGGGTCTCCCTTCTGTGTGTTCAAGTGTTCTCGACTTAGATTTTTAACTATTTAAAAAAAATGCACTGGGTTTGGGTTAAAAACCAACCACCGAAATGGATTTCAACACAGCTCTAAAGCCGAGGGTGCCCGGCTCTCCCAACACAGCGACTCCTGGAGGCCAGATGCCCACAGGCCTACATCCCCTCTCAGCACTCAACAGGAAGTTGATTTTTCTTTTTACAATAAAAGAAGCTAAGTAATATTGCATAGGAGTACCAGAAACTGCCTCATTGGAAATGAAAACTATTTACATTAAATAAAAAGCCTGGCCACAGGCTGCGTCTGCCACATTTACAGCATGGTGCGATGCACACGGTGACCAGACCACGGAGGCAGCTTCTGGCGTTCACACCGCGAGCCGCACGATTGCCACATGAGAGTAAAGCAGCGGGTGAGAGGAGTGAGAGGGAGGAGGGTCGCATTCACTTCTGGATCCGGAGCTGATTGGACCGCCAATCCAGTCCTTCATAGAGCCCGTCACCACCGATGGCCTGAAGGTACCAGTTCCTGTGGCGTAGGGAGTGCAGCCCCAGCTTGTCTGTGATCTCGGCCTCATTCATGGTGCTGGGGAGGCCCTGCTTGTTGGCGAACACCAGGGGGACAGCATCCCGGAGCTCGTCCTCAGCCAGCATCCTCACAAGCTCCTCACGGGCCTCGTTCACGCGCTCTGTCCACCACGAAGATCAGGCCTTGTGTGTTCTGGAAGTAGTGGCGCCACAGAGGCTGGATCTTGTCCTGGCCACCCACGTCCCACACAGTGAAGCTGATGTTCTTGTACTCCAGTTTCCACATTGAAGCCTATGGTGGGAGTGGCGGTCACGATCTCACCCAGCTTTAGCTTGTATAGGATGGTGGTCTTCCCCGCACATCCAGGCCCACCATGAGGATGCGCATTTCCTTTTTGCCAAAAAGGCCCTTGAAGAGGTTGGCGAAGATGTTCCCCATGCTTGTGGACAGGTGGAAGGACACTGGCCAGGGACACCTCAGCGGCTGCTGCTCCGCGCCAGGCGTTGGTTTCGCTCCCATAAGATGGCAGCTCTCCTCACAGCATCTTTTTAAGTGGCATTACGCATTTGTGGTATAAGCATCCTTGGTGTGCTTTAACCAGTGGCTTCAGTTGTGGCCGGTGGGGGCCTCTGGGGGTGGGCCTCAGGCCCTGCGGTCTTCACCGCTTTGGTTTCCTCGTCCATCTCCTGATCCATACCCAGGCACATTCAGCCTTCCTCTGGCTCCTGGGGCCTCTGAAACAGTGACAGCTGCTTCTATGCACAGACCTCATTCTACACCAGCATGGTTTCCAGGTCTGCCTCCACTGATGGACTTTCTTCCTCATTATGGGTCATATTTTCCTTCTTTGCATGTCTGGTAACTTTTGATTAGATGCAGACGTTGTTCACTTTCCCTGTTGAGTTCTGAGTATGTTTGTATTCCCATTAAATATCCCTGCACCTATCCTCTCCAGCCTTCTGAGCTTTGTGAGTGTGGACCAGCTCAGCCTTCACTCCTGTCCCATAGCTGACCACCCTGCCTGCTGTCCCTGGGCCACGAGGACATCCTGGGGCCAGGAGGAGTGTAAAGACTCCAAGCCCTGTTCCGCCAGCTTCTTTACGGAGTCCTTCCCAGCTCTGGGCGCTCCCGCCTGCCCCATCCTGGAGCTCTGGCTGTGGGCAGTCCCTCCTCTCTGCCCCTGCCCTGTGGACTCTGGTGTGTGGGCCTCCCTGGCTGCCAGCTTTGTCCCCCTCCACCCAGCTCCTCTCCCTGAGTGGCAGCCGGGAGGCTTCCTTTAGGTCTCAACCCATACGCTCCTCTCTCAGGGATCATGGCCCATGGTACCTGATGCCCAGTGTCTGAGAATCCTTGGATGTATTTTCAGCTGCTTCAGGAAAGACGGTAAACCCGGGCCCTGCACACACCTGCTGATGGTGAAGAGAGTGAGGCTCTGAGCTTGGCCTCCACCTGGCGTGAAAACACGTCACCTTCTGGCTTTGCAGCCAGTGCTTCCCATCTGAGTTTCGATCTTCTTTGTAGTTCTACATGTTCACGAGGAAATTCAGGGAGATACAAAATTTTTGCTACTGCCACCATCTTCCCATAATCCTCAAGGATTTATTTAGGTATTTATTTTATTTTGAGGCAGGGTCTTCATTTGTCATCCAGGCTGGGACTGCAGACTTGAGCTGTACTGGCCTCTAAAAGCGTTTTTAGCACAGGCAAATTGGAAGAAGGTTCAATGGTAAATGGGAAGAAGGTTCAATGCCCCACCCTTGGGCCTTGGCTGAGTGGGTCCCTGGAGGGTGTGGGTGGGATACGCGATGGCTGCCAATGGGCCACGGATGGCTGGCGTGGGCATGAGAGGAAGAGGGTGCAGAGGACTCTGGGCTCTTGCCTCAGGACTGGTGGTGGCGGTGGGGTGCTGGGGTGCACAACAGACTCAGGAAGGCCTGGGGAACCCATCCTGCCATGTCGCGTTTGAGCTTCCTAATGACATTCAGCAGAAACAGGGCTGAACACAGAGCACAGGGCTCGGGGTCGAGGTCAGGCACGGCTGACAGCCAGCAGGAGAGAAGCCTGCAGCCCAGAGGAAGGGTTTGCGCCTCCCTGAGGAGAGGCCTGGGGCCGGGAGCTGGAGTAAGTTCTAAACTGCAGCTTACTGCTCTGCCTCTTCCTGGGGCCACTGCCCTCAGTCCCGGACTGCTCCTGTCCCTTCTAGCCATCCACCTTGCACTTCCTGCACCAACACCTTGCCCCTGCCTCCTTCAGGGATGACCCCCAGCCCTCCCCTCCGAATCCGAGGCCTGCCTTCCCCAGCTGAAAACTGCAGTCAGGGCTCTTGAGGAGGGCCAGCTGCTCCAGCACCCAATCCCAGGCAGCCCTCCCCAGTGGGCACCTCCCCTGCCCTGGACCACCCCATGGCTCCGGGGAGCCCTCCCCACCTCCCCTCCCATGGCCGCAGCAGTGCGCCTGGGAATGCTGTATACGTTCACGTCTCCGCTCTGTGCTCTCCTCCCACCCCAATAACGCGGCCCCCCAGTGCTGGAAGTCTCTGGAGGGCCCCAGCTCTTCTCAGTCTCCTCTCAGCAGCGGACCCAAGCCGTGGCTGGTGGCTGCTCCCCGAGGTCCGACTTCTGACTTATTCACGTGGTGTGCCACGGCTGGTGGAGGCTCCCTGGGGTCCGACTCTTGACTTCTCCACGCGGACGGCCGCGGGGTCACTCCCTGGGCCACCCCCTCTCCACATGAGCTAACGACTCCCAACTCCTGTTCCACGCCGGCATCCCACAGCTCCAGCACCCCAGCTCACGACAGTGTGGGACGCGGAGGGTCCCCCGGCGCAGGGCGGCCCCGTCGGTCTCCTGACCACGCCCCCAGTGGCCCCGCCCCCTGCTCCGCCCCTGGTCCTCGCGCCCCGCGGGTCCCTCGGCCGAGTCCTGCCCCAACGCGCCTGCGCCCTCTGACCACGCCCATCCCCGTCCCTATCCCCGCCCTTTACCTCCCGGCCCCGCCCCCGCCCCGGCCGGCGGGTGGGAGCCGAGCCACACACCGCGCATGCTCTGAGCGCGGCGCCCCCGACGCGGCGCTCGGCTCAGCTCGGGCATTTCCGCCTCTTTGTTTTAAACTCCGGACGGGCTTTTTTCTCCTCCTCTTGGGGGGGACCCAGAGGGAGCGGCGCCCCCTCCCCCCTCCGGCGAGGACCCCGCGTGCGCCCCGCTCGGCCGCAGCCCCGAGACCGCAGGTCAGTCAGTCCTCCCCGCCTGGCCTGGGCCTGTGGCGCCCGCTCCTCACGCTGCGGCCTCGGCCCGGTCCGGCCCGGAAGGCTCCGAACCCCGGGCCCGCTCTCTGGCGTCCCAGACGGCCTGGCCGGGGAAGCCCTTGGCAGGCCCTGGAGAGGGCTGGACCCCGGGAGGCCCGGCACCGCAGCCCGGGCAGGACCCCGGGAGGGCCGACACACCAGCCCAGGAGGGACCCCGGGAGGGCCGACACCCCAGCCCCGGCGGGACCCCGGGAGGGCCGACACCCCAGCCCCGGCGGGACCCCGGGAGGCCCGGCACCGCAGCCCGGGCGGGACCCCGGGAGGGCCGACACCCCAGCCCCGGCGGGACCCCGGGAGGGCCGACACCCCAGCCCGGGCGGGACCCCGGGAGGCCCGGCACCGCAGCCCGGGCGGGACCCCGGGAGGGCCGACACCCCAGCCCGGGAGGGACCCCGGGAGGGCCGAGACCCCAGCCCGGGCGGGACCCCGGGAGGGCCGAGACCTCAGTCCAGGCAGGACCCATACGCCAGCCCAGGAGGGACCCCGGGAGGGCCGAGACCTCAGTCCAGGCAGGACCTAGGAAGGGCCAAGACCCCAGCCCAGGCAGGACCCAGAGAGGCCAAAACCCCAGCCCAGGCAAGACCCAGGAAGGGCAAGACCCCAGCCCAGGCAGGACCCCGGGAGGGCCAAGACTGTAGCCCAGGCAGGACCCCGGGAGGGCCAAGACTCTAGCCCAGGCAGGACCCCAGAAGGGCAGGACCCCAGCCCAGTCAGCACCCCGGGAGGGCGGGGAACCCAGTCCAGGCAGGGGACGCAGGGAGGGCAAGACCCTAGCCCAGGCAGGACCTCAGGAGGGCTGGGTCCTCAGACAGCCAGCACCTGAGAAGAGTTGGGCCCTGGGACTGCACGGGACCCCCAGCGTGCCAGGACAGGTCATCCAGGAGGGTCTGACCCTGGGACAGGCTACCGAGAAGAGCTGGGACCCCAAGATGGGTCACCAGGGAGGGTCGAACCTGGCCACCTGGCAGGGACCAGGCAGGGCTAGGACCCTGGGAAAAATCATGGAGGAGGATCAGACCTAGGGACCAGGCAGAACCCAAAGAATGCCAGAACCCCAGAACAGGTATCCAAGGAAGGTCCCGCCTTAAAGTGGGCCACAGATGAGGGCCAGGACCCCACGACCGTCATTCCGGAGGACCTGACCCTGAAGCAGTCCTGTGAGCACTGCTCAGACCCTGAGACCACCCTATCTCCCCCGGAGGCTTGGACCCTGAGACAGCTTTATCTCCCCCACCCCGGACCCTGAGACCACTCCATCTCCCCGGGAGGTGGGCTCGGACCCTGAGACTGCCCCATCTCACCTGGGGGGGGGGCCAGGAGCCTGAGACAGCCCTGTCTCCCCTGGGGGCTGGGACCCTGAGACTGCCAGATCTCCCCTGGGAGGCTGGGACCCTGAGACAGCCCCATCTCCTCTGGTGGGGGCTGGGATGCAGAGACAGCCTCATCTCCCCTCGGGGGCTGGTACCCTGAAACAGCCCCATCTCCCCCCTGGAGTCTGGGACCCTGAGACTGGACAGTGAGAGGGACTTGTGACATGGACAGGGTCCTAGATGACCAGGACCTCAGATGGGGTCACTTAGAGTTGGGACACTGGGTATGGATGGGGGAGGGGAGAAGGCTAGGCTTTCAAGGACGACCTGATGAAAGCTAGAACTTCCAGACAGGCCCTCAGAGGAGCTGGGACTCCTGAACAAGTCGCTGAAGAGCATGTAGACCCCAAGACTAGGTTGTAAGAAGTACAGGGACCCTGGGGTGGGATCCAGAGGTGTCCTGAATCTGCTTAGCCCACTCAGCTGGATGCACCTGCTGTGAAGGCCCAGGCATCTGGCATCCTGGTACCTGAGGCCCTTTCCATGAGACCCTGGCCAGCCCCACAGCCCCTGCACACAAGCTCCCTAGGCTGGCACCTGGGGCAGGTATGAGGCAGGGTACTCAGGGTTCCAGGAGCTCCCAGCCCACAGGCTCTACGCCTCAGGCTGGCACTGTGCCCTCCCCTCCTGTCAGCCCCTTGTCCAGGGCTGCTGTCCTTCCCTTGCCTTGGCCATGGTCCGTGTCCAGGACCTTCAATCCTCCTGCCCCTCTCCCCACCTCCAAGGTTACGTGAGTGCCCCCTTCCTCAGTGTAGAGGCATTTTCAGTGTCTGGGAGACTCAAAGGAGGGTTGGATTTTAACTGGGATGTGGACTCCTGTTGGTCGAAGTCAGGAAAGTTGTAGCAGGCATGGCTGTTTCCCACCCCCTCTCCACTCCAGGAAGGGAAGGAATTGAAGCATCCTGGTCGGGGGGCATGGGGTGGGGGTCTTTATTTCTTTCACACCTTTGAATCAGCCTTTTATCTAGAACTTGTGGGTGTTTTCCTTTAATTTGGAAGTGGTAATGAAAGCGTGGGGTGCAGTTTTTATACTGCGTGAGGTGTTCACAGTGAGTGGTCTGTGCTGTCCTTTGACTAGGGAAGGGTTATCCAGTGAGATCGTGTCAGGGTGTTTCTCAAGGGTGGTCAGCCCAGGAGCCTGCTCCTAGAGGGTACGGCATGGCTGCTAGCGTGCAGTGCACGTTTCCCAAAAGAGTGAATGATGCATGAACGAATGAATGAAAGCTGGTAGATCCTCAGAGACATCCACTCAGATTAGGCGTGCACAGTTGTCTGGAAGCTGGGCAATAAGATGAAGTGTAACCCTAAAACTGTAGCTCTCTGGACTCCCAAGAGAAACACTGAATCAGATGGTTCGGGATTTCATCTTTGCCACAACTTCACTTCTTGGTTACTTAGGAGAAAACCACTTTAGGTTTTCAGCTTAACATTTGAGGGTACTGAATGTGAGCCAAATGTGTCCCTGCCTGGTCAGCCTAGACCTAGAAGCTTTTATTTGCCCAGTGTAACCGCCTGGGACCTTTTACTCAACACTTCCTTCTGATTTGCTCTTTTGACATATCCTTACTGTATTTAAAACTTAATTTGCTTTGTGAAATTGTGGAAGAGGCTGGTGAAGCTGAGTATTCAGGTTTGTTTGGCTCTGTGCTGTCTGGTTCCCAGGTTTTTAGAGGTGCGGCTGTCCTGAGTGGAGCAGATTACCCGAACCTGTGCCTTAAACTGACAGTCAGATAGCATCTTACTGTTTCTGTGGGTCAGGGCTCCAGGCGGGTCCTCTGGCTCAGGAGGCTTCCATCTGGGGCTGTGTCTCCTTTGGCTCAGGAGGCTCCCGTCTGGGGCTGTGTCTCCTCTGAAGGCTGGACTGGGAGTGTTTGCGCTCAGGCTGCGTCACATGACTGTGGGCTGGAGCCCTCAGTTCCTTTTTCTGTAGGGCAGCTCCGAGGGTGCCCACGCCAACCCAGAGAGGGACAGGAAGGACGTCCCAGACTGTGGAGTGACAATTCTATCACTTTTGCCAAATTCTCTTTGCCAGAAGTGAGTCGTTAGGCCCCTACGTGGTTGGGAGGGAACTCCAAACAGTGAGCATACCGTAGGCAGGTGTGGTCACTGGAACCACCTAAAGCCTGCCCAGCGTAGTGGTGCTGTGAGCCTGGCATCTGCCAGGGCACTAGAGAGACAGCCCGTAAGTGAATCAGTGATGGCGTGTAGACTGATGTGTTGATGGGGGGTGTGACCATCCAGCTGTCTCTTTAATTGCTGTGGGTTTCTCCAATGTCACTGTCATGATTGAGATACTTGGGATGTGTAAAGGAAGATAAATTACAGATAAAAAAGATTCTTAGGAATTAACTTGCAATTTGGAATATGAGTAGCAAGCCGTAAGACCCCGCAAATTAAATGACAGGGTGTGTGTCACTGATGTCAGATTCTAACAGCTTCAAGTGCAAGTGTTTTACTTGTCCTCAGAGTCCCCTCATTTTATTCCTGCCAGTGGTCTTGCTCCAGAAATTATCAATCGACTTCCGTTAAGTTTTTCTAAACCACTTTAAGTATATGTTGGAAATGTTTTTACCAGTCACTGTCGGCCTCGTGCCCACAGTTATTTGTGACTTCATAATGGTGCTGTAGGAGACGTGAGACCCTGACTGTGTTGGACATTTGGCCCGTGTGAGACCTTAGATCCAGGGTGCAGGCACCACTGCCAGCCAGAGCCTCTGCCCCCAGCCCACACCCTTCGCCCCACAGGGAGCTGGACCCATGCCTGCCACCAGTTCTGGGCTGCAGCCAGAGCCGTGAAGGGGACCTGTCCTGGACTCTGGAGACCTCAGCCTGACCCTCCCACCACGCCTCACTCTGCAGACTATCAGCGGCTCCACAGGGGCCCTTCACCGGGGGCTACAATTGTTTACTTGGGTGTTTTCATTTGGGTTATGAAGTGAGTCTTGTTTTGGTGTATATTGTTACTGTTTTTTTTCTCTTTTTTTTTTGAGACAGAGTTTTATTCTTGTTGCCCAGGCTGGAGTGCAGTGGTGCGATCTCAGCTCACCACAACCTCCGCCTCCCAGGTTTAAGAGATTCTCCTGCCTCGGCCTCCCAAATAGTTGGGATTACGGGCATGTATTACCACACCCAGCTAATTTTGTACTTTTTAGTAAAGACAGTGTTTCTCTGTGTTGGTCAGGCTGGTCTTGAACTCCCAATCTCAGGTGATCCACCCGCCCCAGCCTCCCAAAGTGCTGGGATGACAGGCATGAGCTGAGATGGCACCACTGCACTCCAGCCTGGACAACAAGAGCAAATGGCAGGATTTGTTATTTTGTTTGCAGCCTTACAATTGAAGTTGAAATGTAATTTTTCTTTTTTTTTTTTTTTTTTTTTTGAGACGGAGTTTCACTGATGTTACCCAGGCTGGAGTGCAATGGCGCGATCTCGGCTCACCGCAACCTCCGCCTCCTGGGTTCAGGCAATTCTCCTGCCTCAGCCTCCTGAGTAGCTGGGATTACAGGCACGCACCACCATGCCCAGCTAATTTTTTGTATTTTTAGTAGAGAC